AAATAAGGGAAAAAAAGAAAAAAGGAAAATGGTGGGAGGGGTTTGGTTGGGGGTTGTGAATGAAAATTGATTGAAATGATTTGATGGGAATGGTAAGATGATGGATGATGAAATGAAAAAATGATGGAGAAAATGAATGATGATGAATGAGAAAATTGTGAATGGTGATGTTTTAATTGGTGATGTGATGATGATGTAGGAGGGAAAAGGGATGAACGAAGACGAACGCACGCAAAGAGAAGGGAGAAGAGGAGGAAGCGGAGGACAAGGACAAGGAGAAATTGAAGAAGATGGTGATGAGAGCGAGGATGAGGGAAAACGGGGGGAGGAAGAGGAGGAGGAGGAGGAGAAAGAGAAGGAGGAGGAGAAGGAGGAGGAGGAGGAGATGGATGTCGCGGTGGAGGAGGAGAAAGGTGTGTATGATGGAGAAAAAAAAAAAAAAAAAAAAAAAAGGAAGAAACAAGAGTGGTAAAAAAGATTGAAATTGAAGATGAAAAAACAGGAACAAGGAAAGGAAAGCAGAATTCATAAGCATGAAGAATTTGAGAAAGAAAGCAAGAGAAAAAAATAGAGAAAAACATTCAGACAGACTTGTAAAGAGTCAAAGAACCATGTAATTAAACACGAAAATGGAAGAAGAAGAAGAAGAAGAAGAAGACGAAGAAGAAAAACTGACAAATACCCACATTTCAGTATATTAAATGTGTTTGCGTAACAATTCCTTCACAAGTGCTTAGTCACCAAGGAATCAAGTACAAGTCCCACTCACCTAACTACCCCTTCCCTAAATCTTTCGAAAATAATCAATCTCTCTATCTTTTATTCCCGTTTGTATATTCACCTCGCCATAATAACCCTCAGGCCAATAATAAACAGTATCGATATTAGCACCAACAGAAAAAAATGCACGAAAATTCAAGGAATAGGGAAATTAGACCACTTAGGCTCTGCTAAAGGACTCCTCGGCGGTTAAGGACTTTTGGAGCCATCTGTGGGCAACAAAATTCACTAACAAAAAAACTATAGTAAACAGGACATGTACCCGAGTCCATTGAGTTAACACCTGAATAGACATTCCCCGTCACGGGCTATAGATAACATTAACGATGTAAAAATAGGTAATGACAATAGCAAGTATAAGAAAGAGACTGATAGTAATGATAGTAATGACACCTAATAATATAAGTATCAGTAATAATGATGATGATAATGATACTAGAAATGTTAAGAATAATTCTTTTTATCATTTCTATTGATATTATATCATTATCATTATGGCAATAATGGAAACAAATGCAATAAGGATGATTATGATATCAATAATGATGATAATGATGTGGTAGTACCAGTAATAACAATGATGATAATAACAATAATAATAATGGTAATAATAATGATAATATTAATAATGATAATAATAATGATAATGTTAATAATAATAGTGATATTAACAATAACAATAATGATAATGTTTATATTAGCAATACCGCTGTAACTACTAGTGATGACTAAAAGATAATAACAATAATAATGATGATAACAATGATTAGAATATTGACAGTAATAAAGATGATGATGAATATAAAGTAACAAAAAGAATAATGATAATGAAAATTATTATTATTATTATGATGGTAATAGTGATAATGAAAATAAAAATAATGATAATGGTGCTAATCAAAATTGTAACAAGGATAGTAATAATGAATAATGATAATGATAATAACGATAACAATAATGATGATAATCCTCATACTGATAATGATAAAGAAAAATGTAATTGAAACGCGAATGATAATAATGATGATGAAAAAAATAATGATAGCTATAATAATGATACTGATAATGATAGTGATAATAATAATATTAATGATAATAATAATAATAATAATAATAATAATAATAATGATAATAACAACAGCAATAATAATAACAATGATTATAATGTTAATGATGATAATAACAATAATGATAATAATAACAATAATGATTATGACAATGATAATAATAACACCACTAGCAATAATGACAATGATAATAATGACAATAATAACAACACTACAAGAGCAAGAAGAAGAGGGCGGCGCCTTACCGACACATGGACGCGGTTCTCGTTCTTGTAGGTCTCGACGCGGGCGTAGGGCGGCGCGGGCGTGCGGTTGATGAGCCACGTGATCTCCGTGGGCGGGTCGGAGGGGCCCACCTCACACCGGGCCTGGATGATGTCCTGCACGCCCACTTTCGAGCTCAGGGGTCTGTGGGTCAGCCTTGGGCCCCAGGTGGGTATGTCTGTTGGTGGGCGGGGGGGGGGGGTGGAAGGTAGGGGGAGAGAGGGGGAGGGGGGAAGTAGGCAAGGAGGGAAGGAGGGAGGGGCGAGAGGGGAAGGAGGGAGGAAAGAGAGAGAGAGAGAGAGAGAGAGAGAGGGAGGGAGGGAGGAGGGAGAAGAGGGAGGCGAGGGAGGCGAGGGAGGAGGGAGGAGAGAGAGAGAAAGAGAGAGAGAGAGAGAGAGGAGAGAGAGAGAGAGAGAGAGAGAGAGAGAGAGAGAGAGAGAGAGAGAGAGAGAGAGAGAGAGAGAGGGCGAGGAGGGAAGGAGGAGAGAAAGAAAGACAGAGAGAGAGAGAGAGAGAGAAACAGAAAGAAAGAAAGAGAGAGAGACAGCAAGAAGTGAAGGGAAGAGAAGAGACAAAGCGAGAAGAGAAAAGAAGAGAAAGGAGAAACAGTAAAGGAGGAAGAAAGGGAGAAGAGAAAAGGTGAATGAAAAGTATTAGGAAGGGAGAAAGGTGGAAGAGGGAGAAGAAGAAGAAAAATAAATGAGACACAAATAGATTCCTTTGTTTTGTGTTTTTTTTCCAATTTTTATTTTTCAATGTAAGTCACACACACATACACACACACACAGGAATATTCGAAAAAAAAAAACGGAAATTTATAACAGCATAAATACTCCATCACATATTTTTCCCCCTAGATGAATGTAATTAATCAAAGTTTTCCAAAAATGAACTTCAAAGCCCAAAGATGATCATTCTTTTCTCTTTTTCTTCATTCCATTTCAAACGCGAAGAAAACAGAGAAAAGAAGGAAAGAGAAAGAGTGAGAGGGGGGGAAATGCAAAAAATGAACAATGATTAATTACTGAGAGGGTACAAAATAGGGACTTTTTGGATACAGAAAGGTCGGATTTTGTTGCCGGAGAATGGTGGAAAAAAGTAAAATATGGTCTCTATTTTAATTGCTGTAGATTGTGTGAGAGCAAAAGATAAATAATTCGTTCTCTCTCTCTCTCTCTCTCTCTCTCTCTCTCTCTCTCTCTCTCTCTCTCTCTCTCTCTCTCTCTCTCTCTCTCTCTCTCTCTCTATCTATCTATCTATCTATCTATCTATCTATCTATCTGTCTGTCTATCTATCTATCTATTCATCTGTCTGTCTGCCTATCTATATATCTCTCTTTCTATCTACCTCTCTATCCATCTATCTATTTATCTATCTATATGTCCATCCATCTATCTATCTATCTATCTATCCATCCATTCATCCATCCATCCCTCTCTCTATCTATCTATCTATCTATCTATCTATCTATCTATCCATCCATCCATCCATCCATCTATCTATCTATCTATCCATCTATCTATCTATCTATAAATCTATCTATCTATTTATCTATCTATCTATCTATATCTATATATATATATATCTACCCCTTTCACGTTAAAAAAGCTGTATTCTATAACTATATACCATCTACAGTGTGTGTGTACGTGTGCGTGTGTTTCTGTCTTTGTGAATATAGACACTGCCCTATCGTTTTCCAATTTTATTTGTATATCAATTGATTTGTCTATCTAGAGAGCGAATTTTCTTCATTCATTTACTTAAATTGATTTCTCTCTCCTTTTCTCTCACATTCTCTCTCTATCTGTCTGTTTCTCTGTGTCTTTCACTATCTGTCTATCTATCTATCTGTCTGTTTGTCCGTCTGTCTGTCTGTTTATCTGTCTGTCTGTCTGTCTATCTATATATCTATCTATGTGTGTGCATGTGCTTATGCATATGTGTATGTGTGAATATGTGCGTGTGTCTTTGCATGAGTTTCTATCTGTCTATCTATCTGCCTGTCTATTTATCTATCTGTGTCTATCTATCTATCTATCTGTCTATCTGTGTTTATCTATCCATATATCTATCTATGTGTGTATGTGCCTATGTATATGTATATGTGTGAATATGTGTGTCTTTTGATGAGTTTGTATGTGGTTGAGTGCGCGTATAGCCCCCTCCTTACCCACCCAGTCATCTAACAATCAAACAAATCCACTCATCCATCTTACTCACGTCACCCATCTACTCACCGACAACCGTCATGTTCTTCGTGTAGTTATCCGTCTCGAAAAGGGGTTTGTCGCCCATCACTTCGCACTGAAAGCTCCCTGAAGTTTCACGTGTAATTCCTTTCAGAACCACAGTGTTCGCGTCGCTCTGGGATTTCTGTGGGAGAGAGGAGGAGAGTGGGTGAGTAAGTGGATGGTGGGGTGGGTGGGCGGTAGGTGGGAGGCGGGTGGATAATGGTGGTGGGTGGGTAGTGGAGGTGGTGTGGTAGTGGGAGGGTGGGGGGGTAGGTGGGGGTGGGTAGGTGTGTGGTGGATAATGGGTGGGTGGGTGGTGGGGAGGGTGGGGATGGTTAGGTTGCTTAGGTGGGTGGCGGGGTGGTATTGGGTGGATAATGGTGGGTGGCGGGTGGTATTGGGGATAATGGTGGGTGTGAGGTGGATAATGGTGGGTGGGTGGGTGGTGGAGGTGGGTGATTGTGGGTGAATGATAGATGTGGATGTGTGTGGGTGGTATGAGAGGATGATGGGGATTAATGATAAGGGAATGGATGAGAGATAATGAAAAGAGATAAGTAAATTGTGATAAAAGAGAGAAATAGAAATGTTATGATAGAAATCATGAAAAGAAAATTAGGAAATAGTGAGTGACAAAAAATAGTTAATTATAGACCCGGATATCAAAAGCGGACAAAGGAAAATAACGGAGAAAAATGATACAAACATATGATAATAACAGATCAGCAAAATGTATAACAAAGAGAAAATAAAAAAGGAGAAAGACAAAAATAGATAGCAAAATAGAAATATGATATTAGGATGATAGAATTCGATGGAAAAAACCAAGGGAATTTAATAACTTACGAAGGAAAAGGTAAAGATGATGAGACTAATTGATTGACGTTGAAATTAATGATGGACGGCAGGAAAAAATATAATCAGTTTCTAGGGATTATTTTTGATGATAAGAAACAATGAAGAGGAGTGGTTTGGATAATAAAATCTAATTATTTTTCTTTTCGATTTTGATGAAGCATGTGAGATACAACGTTATTATCTTTATTTATTTTTGTCTTTTGCTATTGTCTTTTTTCCTTATTCTTTCTCTTCCTTTCTCTCTCTCTCTCATTTTATCATATTACCATTATCATTATCATCACTTATATCATTATCATGATTATCAATACTGTCATCAGTATTATGATAATCATCACTATAATGATTATCATTATCATCAACATTATTGTTATTATTACCATTATCATCCTTATTATTATTATTATTATTATTATTATTATTATTATTATTATTATTATTATTATTATTATTATTATTATTATTATTATTATTATTATTATTATTATTATTATTATTATTATTATTATTATTATTATTATTATTATTATCATTATTATTATTATTATTATTATCATTATTTCAGCGTTATTATTATTGTTATTATTATTATCATTATTATTATTATCATCATTATTATTATCATTATTATCATTATTATTATTTTCATTCATCATTCTATTATCATTATCTCTCTATCTCTCTTCTCCTCTTCTCTCTCTCTTCCTCTCTCTCTCTCCTCGTCTCTCTCTCTCTCTCTCTCCTCTCTCTCTCTCTCTCTCTCTCTCTCTCTCTTCTCTCTCTCTCTCATCTCTCTCCTTCCTCTCTCCTCTCTTCCTCCTCTTCTCTCTCTCTCTCTCTCTCATCTCTCTCTCTCTCTCTCTCTCTCTCTCTCTCCTCTCTCTCTCTCTCCTCTGTCTCTTCTCTCTCTCTGCTCTCTCTCTCTCTCTCTCTCTTCCTTCTCTGATCTCTCTCTCTCTCTCTGACTCTCTCTCATCTCTCTCTCTCTCTTCGTCTCTTTCTCTCTCTCCCTCCCTCGTCTCTCTCTTTCCCCTCACCCTGCATCTCCCTCATCTCTCTCCGATCGGTCATCCATCATCCCATCGTCTCTCTCTTCTCTCTCTCTCCCCTCTCTCCCTCATTCCCTCTCTCTCCCCTTCTCCTCCTCCTTCTTCCTCTCCTCCCCTCCCCCGCCTCGCTCTCTCCCTCCGTTCATCCTCTGTTTCTCTTCTCTCTCCTCTCATCTCTCTCTCTTCTTCTACTCTCTCCATTCTCCTCTCTCTCATCTTCTCTCTCCTCTCTCTCTCTCTCGATCTCCCCTCTCTCCCTCCTCCCTCGCTCCCTCGCCTCCTCTCTCCTCGCTCTCAGTCCTCTCCCTCTCTCTCGTCCTCCCCTCGCTGCCCTCTCCTCTTCTCTCTTCCTCTCTCTCTCTCTTTCCCTTTTTCCCTTTCCTCCCTCCCCTCTGTTCTTCATCTCCTTCTCCTACCTCCTTTCCTCTTCTTCCTCCGTCCTTTTTCTCTCTTTTTTTCTGATCCTCTCTCACTTTCTCCGTCTCTCTCTTTCATCTCATTCTCCTCCGATCTCTCTCTCTCCCCCCCCTCTCTCTCCTCATCCTCCATCCACACTCTCCTCTCCTCCCCTCTCTCGTCTCTCTCTCTCCTCTCTCACTCTCCTCCTCCTCACCTCTCTCTCTCCCCTCCTCTCTCTCCCCTCTCTCCTCTACCATCCTACCTTCCCCATCTCTCCCTTCCGCCCGCTCACTCTCCTCCCTTCTCCATCTCTCTCTCTCTTCTCTCCTCTCTTTCTCTGTCTTCTCCCCTCCCTGTTCTCTTCCTCCTTTCTCTCCTCTCCCCCCCCCTCTCTCTCTTCATCTCGCCGCTCTTCTTCCCCTCGTTCCTCTCTCCCGTCTCATCCCTCTCTCTCTCTCGTCCTCTCTCCACTCTCTCCCCTGCTCCCCCCCCTCCTCTCGTCTCTTACTTTTAGTTCAAACTCCTCCCTTCCTCGTCATTCTCAGCTCTCTCTCCTTTCGATTCTTCTCTCGTCTCTCTTCTCTCCCTCATCCCTCTCATCGTGTAGGCTCTCTCTCTTAACTCGCTCTTCTCCTCCTCTGCTCCCTTCTCTCTGATCCCCTCCTCTTCTCTCTCTCCTCTCCTCTCTCTCTCTCGTTCTCTCTCTTCCTCCTCCTCTTTCTCTCTGATCAACTCTCCTCTATCCGCTGCTCTCTCTCACCATCTGGTCTTCCAGTCTATCTCTTCATCTCTCTCTTCTCTCTCTCTCATCATGCATTCCTCTCCGTTTCTATCGCTCTCTTCTCTCTCTCTCTACTCTCTACTCCGTCTCTCTTCTCTCTCTCTCCTGGACCTCTTCATCTTCTCCTCTCTCTTCTCTCCCTCCTCCCTCCTCCCTCGCATCCCTCCTCGCTTTCCCTCCCATTCAGCTCCCTCCCTCATCCTCTGCCTCTCCCTCCCTTCTCCACTCCATGCTCCCCTCCCTGTCCCCTCACGCCTCTCCCCTCTCCCCCTCCTGCCCTCCCTCTTTCCCCTTCGCCGTCCGTCCTCCCGCACTCACTTCTCTCGACTCCCGACTCAAACATCGCGTCTTTCGCTGCGATACAAGATGGAGTGACACACTGACTTAAATGAGCATGTTTCACTACATCCGTCACCACACTGTGTGGTGCAATGAGATTTGCAAAGCTGGCCCTTTTGTAGTGTAAGAGGATCTGATGGGGGTATTTTTGGGGAGGGGGGGGGGGGTATAAAACGAATGTGTTTCTTTGCCTTTATGTTTCTATGAGGTATGGAAATTCTGATGAACAATATGTATCCCATTAATAGTCAATATATATATCTGAGCTAGTATATTATTGCGCGTTATGTTGTCTGCATATTACATACAACACACAACTGCACACAACACAAACACACATGACACACAGTAACACACATAAAACACCACCTCACTGCTAACTCGTATAAAGACACATAATGCAAAACGATCATTCATACATACACACAAATACAACAATAAACACACGTACAACACAATACATACTAATCACAACATCCCAAGACACACGCACACCACATCCACACTAAATAAACAACATAAACACACACAATATACGGACACTAATACACATAAACACGACACATTACATACAACTATAAACCTGACACACATGTACACTCATAAACATACACTTCACTAAACACACACACACACAGCACATGAACGAAAGATCACATAAAAAGACACACACACACACAAATGACACACACGGACAAATATAATACACCACCACCAACACAATAACAATCCACACACAATACACAATACATATATTATATTATATATATTATATATTATATATATATATATATATATATATATATATATATATATATATATATATATATATATATAACTTTTACACACACATTCGTTGTGACCCAAACACAAAATAACACGCTCTAACTGCACAAAGGTTATAGGTATTTAATATTCCCAACATAGCACATGAACGTTTATATTTATCATTGATTTGGCCGAGCATTTTGTTCAGCAGAACATCAGCCTCGCAGCGTTATGGCGGATCAGATTATTCAACTACCATTTCATAATGATTTGAAATGACCCCAAAACGCCAAAGAAATGCAAAGCTACTTCTTTCATTTCTCTCCGCTTAAAAAAAGAAATGTCTAAAGAGAAGGAACGAAAAATGAGATAGAGAAAAAGACATAACTGCACTTGAAGAAATACGCATTTACTTCCATTGTATATTGCATATGATCTAGTTGTTTTAATACTCTATGTTCCCCCAAAGAAGCAAACCTTAAATGGAACTTCAATGTGAAACAATTCTGACAAAAGCATTAATGGGACATTGTGCGTGCGTTCGTATCCCTTTTGTCAGATTGAACTTGCACAAAGGTTGCGGAGTTCATTGCTGCCACGAGGGGGGGCTGGAGGACGGTTCACTGTGTACGTATGTATGTATTAATGAACATGAATATGCATAGATGACACACAATTATGCGCATACATCTGTAGATATACACGTAATTAATGTGTACATGTTATAAACGTAACAGATAACACACACACATACACACACATACACACACACACATACACAACACACACACACATATACTACCACACACACTAACACACACACACACGCACACACATACACACACGCACACACGAACAAACAACACTCCTCCCCCACACACACACACAAACAACCCTCCTTGCAGAAACAGGCACGCGAGCGCACCTCCCGTCGCCCTCGCCCCGAGG